GGGGGCACAGAGGGGAGGAGCGAGCGAGCAGCCCTGTGGTGCTTAGTTGCCATCTGAGCCTAAACCACGACAGTGACAAAAATCACAAGTGTGAAATCTAACTTCCATTTTTATTGATTTTTTTTTTTAATTGAACAAGTCTTAGAAATATAACTAATGGGAAAAAATGCTTTTACAGATCACTTTTTAAAAGTGGTAACACTCATAATATTATTGTGGTAGCTAAAATATGCATTTAATATAAACAAAAATAGTTTGACATAGGATACCTGTATCTTTCCAAAGGCTCATACAGCAATGAAAAGCAATCAAGGCAAATGGCTAAAAAGCTTAGATACAAGATCTGTACCCCATATGGCAAATATTTATTTAAATGGATTTACTGTGTCTGGACAAATTCAGTAAAGAGAAAAAGCTCAGTATAAAACAATAGTTTCCTGAAACAACTCAAGACATTTTTGAATAAGCTTTGGCACAAAATTATACTGTCATAAATCACCAAATTGCATGTACACACAAGACAGATCCATCACTGATGTCACTCAGGACAAGCTGTACATAATTCCAAGAATGGGTGGGTCTCTCTAACCTTTACACAGCATTAAGTGTTTACTTCCTTAGTACAAAATAGTCTAAAAATATATTGTAATAATAATTGGATAGAAGCCCAAACCAGATCCCTTCTCCCTTATGTCCCCTCCCTCACTGGACTCTCTAGCGGTCAGCAAGGTCTATCATCACCATGCACCCTGTGCCTTCCTGGAACTTCAAGGTCACAACAGCAACAGAGATAAAAAGAACAATAATGTTGGGGCAATACGTCTGCTGAAAGCTGCATTGCTTTTGGAGCTGAGAAAATCAATTAGCATGTGGCAAATCTACTTCTGAAACGAGTAAAACCAATCACAGGGCCAGTTCAAATTCAGTGAAGTTTAGAAATGAATTCTGTCTAAATTCACAAAACATTGCTAGGACTAGTTTTTTTAGGTTACGACATTGAGAGCTCACCAAGGGTACAGAACAGTCATATCCAACACGTTCCTCTGTCTGACTGTATTTGGCCAAAATGGCAGGTGTCCTCTTGCCATCATGTTGCAAGGTTGGGTCAGGCAACAGAGGCTCTCGAAGTCTTCTGTTGATGTAATACACTTTTTTGTTGGTGGTTTGTTTTGGGGTTTGGTTTTTTTTTGGGGGGGGG